TACGAACCCATAGGAATCCTATAGGAATTCTATCGGGAGTTCTATAAATCCTATAGGAATATCATAGGAATCCAATGAATCCTGTACGAGTCCCATAAGAATCCTATAGGAACCCGATTCGATTCCTATAAGAATCCTATAGGAATCTTATGAATCCTATATGAATCCTGTAGGAATCCGATGGGAAGCCTAGAAAGGAATCCTATGAATCCTGCACGAATTCCGAAGGAATCCTACAGGAATCTATGAATCCTAAAGGAATCCCATCGGAAACCTATAAATCCTATACGAGTCTTTAGGACTCCTATCAAAATCCGATGAATCCTATATCCTGTCGGAATCCTATAGGAACGCTATAAGGATCCTCTGAATCCCATACGAATCCTCTCGGAATCCTGTGGGAATTCTATGAATTTTAAGCGAATCCTATACGAATCCTACAGGAATCCTATGAATCCCATACGAATCCTATAGGAATCCTATAGGTCCTATATGGATCCTGTAGGAATCCGAATAGGAACCCTATAGGGACCTTATGGAATCCGATACGAATCCTTCAGGAATCCCATAAGCATTCTACGAATCCTATACGAATCCTACAGGAGTCCCATAGGAGTCGTATGAATCCTGAACGAATCCTATAGGCCTCCTGTAGGAATCCTATGAATCCTATACAAATCCTATGCGAATCCTAGAGGGCCGGTGGATTGTGAGGAAGTCTCAGGCGGGAGCCCTCGGCGTTGTTGTTGTTGTTGTTGTTGTTGTTGTTGTTGTTGGTGGTGTTGTTGTTGTTGTTGTTGTTGTTGTTGTTGTTGTTGTTGTTGTTGTTGTTGTTGTTGTTGTTGTTGTTGTTGTTGGGGGGGGCAGCCCGGGGCACGACGCGCGTCCCTATTCAACAACAACAACAACAACAACAACAACAACAACAACAACAACAACAACAACAACGACAACGACAACGACAACGACAACGACGACGACGACGACGACGACAACGACAACGACAACAACAACGACAACGACAACGACAACGACAACGACAACGACAACGACAACGACAACGACAACGACAACGACAACGACAACGACAACGGCAACGACAACGACAACGACTACAACAACAACAACAGCAGCAGCAGCAACAGCAACAGCAACAGCAGCAGCAATAACAACAACAGCAACAACAACCACAACAACAACCACCACAACAATCACAACAATAACAACTACAAGAACAACAACACCTACAAGAACAGCAACAACGACAAAAAAAAAAGGACAACAATATTCATGTTAAGACTGTTCGCTCTTATCTGCTCGCGGACTATTCAACACGTAGATTACAAAACCTCGATACCCACCCTTTTCGTCTTCGATCGTGCCCACTTGGGGTATATATCTTTCTTACCTGCAACGTGCATTCCGTGCAGGAAGTCCAACGCGAGAGCGCGATTCCTGTGTAAATTGTGAGGACGTCCCTCGCGAGAGCGCGATTCGGGCATCCGCCGACCCTATCGCCGTGTTGAAGAGGACCTTTCATTCGTCGCTGTTTCATTCGTCGTCTCCTCGTCGTCGTCGTCGTCGTTGTCGTCGTCCTCATCGCCGTCGCCATTCCAAACTGGGTCTCCTTCTCCAACGCGCCAGCCGTTGCCTCTCTTACCCTGGGCGTTCTCTTTACGCGTGGTAGCCACAACGACATTAACCAACGTCTTGCTTCGAAGGGAAGCCCCTTCCCTTGATCTCTTCCCCGCTGGGGGGGGGTCCCAGTGGAGGTCCTGGGGGGGGGGGCCCTGGGGTGTCCCGGGTCAAAATGTCCCCCCCTCCCCTGGGTGGTCCCAAAACCCAAAACCACCCAAGACGAACCAAGACTGCCCCAAGAGGCCCCCAAGACAGTCCAAGAGGGCCCCGAATCGTCGAACTATCGGTCCAAGACGCCAAAGTAGCCTCCAGACGGCCCAGGAGGTTTCCAAGACGCCCCACAAGGCCTCCAAGAGCACTCCCAGGAGGGCCACAATAGGCAAAAATGATCGATTTCCAGAAAAGGTCTTTAATTGATTTTGGGATTCTCGCCTTTTCGCCTTCCCGACATTTCCAGACGGTCCAAGAGGTTCCCAAGATCGCTCCAACATAGCCCAAGAGGCCTCCGAGAGGGCCCCAAACCACCCAAGAGGGCTCCAAGACCGCCCAAGAGGCCACCAAGACGTCCCAAGAGGCCCCCAAGACGGCTCCAAGAGAGTGCCCAGACGGGGGAAACGAACGGACATTTCGAGCCCTCGGCCTGAGGGGCTCCCAGGAAGCGCCAAGAAACGCCCCCAAGAAACACCCAAGATGCGCCGGGGAAGCCCCAAGAGGCCCCCAGGAGCCTTCCAACAGGCCCACAAGAGGCTCCCAAGAGGCCCCAAAATTACCCCGCAGAGGCACCCGAGAGCGCTCCGAAGAGACCCCACGAGGCATCCCTGAGGACTCCGACCCACGTCAGCGTCGTCGTCGTAGTCGTTCAGGGACGGCGGCACTGGCCGTGAGTCCTCCCCGATATATGGTAAAAAAACTATCAGGCGGGAGCCGCTGTTGTTGTAAACCGGGTGCCAGGGACGCGGTTCGGTGACACCTCGCTTTCCCTCGTAAAAGACAGGGTGCGAGCCCCTGGAGAAGCACTTAGTAGAAAAAATAAAAGCGGTTACAGGGCAGGGGGGTTTAACCACAATTAATCCGCACCGCAGAACCTCACGTCAGCCACGCGCCAAGGGACAGTGAATGACCTTTCGGCCCCTCACTTTGACGAAAGGGTACATACATATATACATATATACATATACACACACACATATATACATACAAACATACATACATACATACATGCATGCATGCATGCATGCATGCATACATACATACATATGTATATGTAAATACATATAACATACACGACAGAGCCCTCCAGACCAAGTGGCGCCGCAAGTTGCATGTTGGTAGCACTGGCGCAAAGAATTTACGACATTGGGGCCAAGCGGCCAGGTCGAGCAGACGAGCAGATCGGGCGGGCAGACCCTGTCGGGCGGGTCGGGAAGGCGGGCCCGGGCGGCCAGGTCGAGCTGGCAGGTTGCTGAAGCGTGCGTCCGGCATGAATCGCGAGGAAGTCTCGAGCGGCAGCGCGAGACCCAAACAAATCGTGAGGAAGTCCATAGCGAGAGCGTGAATCCTCATTATCGAGGGCGCGGCGTCTGAACAAATTGCAAAGATGTCCCACGCGAGAGCGCGATTCCTGCGCAAATTGCGAAGACGTCCCGCGCGAGAGAGCGCGATTTGGGAACAAACTGTGAGGAAGCATCAGGCGGGAGCCGGTGTTGTTGCAGTTCGGGGCCCAACAACCCAATTTGGTGACACCCAGCTTTCCCTTGTACAAAACCGGGTGCGAGCCCTGGGAGAAGCCCTTTGCAATGAAAAGGTGGAATGGTTACAGGGGGAGGGGGATCAACAACAACTGCTCTTTAGAAATGAAAACTCAAAAATAACACCAACAACCAAAATAACAAAAACACAACAACCACCAAGGCAACAACAATAACAACAACAGCAGCAGCAACAACAACAACACCAATAGCAACAGCAACAACAACAGCAACAACAACAACCACAACAACAACGGCAACGGCAACGGCAACGACAAAAACAAGACCAACAACGCCAACAACAACGACAGCAGCAGCATCAACAACAAACACAGTAACAACAAAAATAACGGCAACTACAACAAGAGCAACAACATAAGCAGCAACGCCTGCAACAACATGGGACAAAAAACAACAACACCAACAACAATAACAACAACAACGACAACAATAACGACGACAACAACAACGAAACAACAACGAAACAACAACAGCAGCAGCAACAACAACAACAACAATCATGCTAAGACTGTTCGCTCTTATCTGCTCGCGGACCATTCAACACGTATATCCCAAAGCCTCGACACCCGCCTTCTCCGTCTTCGATCGTACCCCCTTGGGTGTATATCTTCCTCACCTGCAACGTGTATTTCATGCAGCCCCTAAGGCAGGGGAAGTGAGGACGGATGGGAAGAAGAGACAATCGAGAGGGAGGAGGATGGAGCACGGGATTAGCAGGACAGGGGCTAGGAGCAGAAAACACGTGTCAAAACCAGACGGGCGGGTAGACCCTAACGGGCGGGTCGGGAAGGCGGGCACCGGTGGCCAGTGATCACTGCATGAATCGCAAGGAAGTCTCGATAGCGATAACGCCATTCCCAAATGAATCGTGAGGAAATCCACAACGAAAGCGTGATTCCTGAGTGTCGAAGACGCGGCGTCTGAATACAATGTGAGGAAGTCCCACGCTAGACCGCGATTCCTGCGTAAATTGTGAGAACGTCGCACGCGACAGCGAATATATTGTGAAGAAATGTCAGGCGGGAGCCAGAGTTGTTGTAAACGAGGTGCCATGGGCGCAGTGTGGAGACACCTCGCTTTCCCTTGTAAAGAACCAGATACGAGCCCCGGGAGAAGCACTTTAGTAGAGAAATACAATGGTTACAAGGCAGGGGGGGGTCAACAATAATTATTCTTAGGGAATGAGATTTCAACAACAATCCGCACTGCAGAACCTCATTTTAGCCACGCGCCCAGGGACAGTGAATGACCGTTCGGCCCCTCACTCTAATGAAAGGGATTATATATAACATACACAACAGAGCCCTCCAGACCAAGTGGCGCCGCAAGTTGTATGTTGGTAGCACTGGCGCAAGAATCTACGACATTGGGGTGATCATCAAGTGTATGCACCGCACACAGCGACAATGCACATCCAGAGTTCAACATGTTCACGCACATTATGCGCGGACCTGACACCACAAGACCGTTTCGGCGGCGAGCACAAAACACCCGTGCTTACAAGCGACTACACGCGGGATCTCAAATCCAGGGGAAATGCACTGCAATGGAGATTCGTGCGGAGGACCGAAGCAAATCTGGCGGCTGGCTGGC